CTGCCCCTCCTTCACCTCCGGCACGCCTTGCCGAACCGCGCGCGGTGGTGTACGAGACGCCAAAAAGCGCAGGGGCGAAGGGACAAACTGGGACGGGGACGGCAGCTGCGCGGCGTGCCTCGCGGAGTGCCGCGGTGCAAGGAAACTGCGCCTGCTGACGCTCTACCTGGCTCCGCGCCCAAGGAAACTACCCGCTTGCCACGCGCCCGTACAGGTCGCCGTCGGTTGGCGTTCGAACAGAGGAGACCGTGCGCGGCGGCGTGCCGGACCGCGCCGTCAGGCGAGCCGCGTCCATGGTGGTGCTGCCGCGGCGAGCGTGACCGGACGTCTCGCTACGTGCGCCGAGGCCGCGGACCACGCGCCCAAGCCGCCGTGCGCCGAGGCCGCGTGCCCAGGCCGCCGTGCTGCTACTACTGGCAGTGATTGCGACGACGGCAAGGGAGGAGTCCGCGGCGAGGGCGTTCGCGGTGGCGTCCAATGCGACGGCGCATGGGGCAACGGTGGTGGGGAACAAGCTGAACGTGCATCTGGTGCCGCATTCGCACGACGACGTCGGCTGGCTCAAGAACGTCGACCAGTACTACGTCGGAACTCAGATCCAACAACTCCAGGCCGACGTGCGCCGAGGCCGAGTGCCCAGGCCGCCATGCGCCGAGGACGCGAGCCGCGCGCCCAGGATGCCGCGCTTAGCCGCCGCCGACGCCTTGCAGCCAGGCTGCCGCGCGCCCAGGTCGTCGTGTGCCCAGGTCGTCGCGCGCCCAGTCCGCCGCGTGCCCAGGCCGCCGCGCGCCGAGGCCGCGAGCCGTGCGCCAAGACTGCGCGCCTAGGCCGCCGCATGCGCTCAGTCAGTTCGACATGGCCGGGACTCCACATGAGCTCCTCCTCTCCTCTCGCTGCACGAAGACGGCTGGAGGTTGAAGGTGACGGCGGGAGGTTGAAGGAGGAGCTGACATGTGGGGGCCCACGCGTTAGCCAGTGGAGGGGGAGAAATAGCAGAGGTAAAACTGTCGTTTTCCATGCCCAGTAGTGGTTCCCAGGGATGCTCCATGCCCGCGTGGCGTGCCAGATCAGTAAAAGTGGTAAAATCTTGGGTGTTTCACTGTTTATAATGATAAATCTGTAGGTGTACGCACAAAACTGACGATCGGAGAGGTGCCATCCATAAGGATGGCAAAAAGTTAAAAATCCCCAGGAGGACGATGTCGACACAGGGCAGAGTGTGAAGAGAGATTTTGGAGGAGCCATTGAGTTTCCTAACCAATGCTAGGGAGCGGCTGAAAGGTTCTTATGTGGTTTTGGTAATTGAGTGATAACCTAGGTGGATTAATTGTGTTTATGTAAGATACACAGGTGATTAGTCCACAGGTACATGTGTGTGAGCAACATATGCCACGAAGGTTGAAATGGTTTGGAGATGTTGCAAAGCTCACACATGTGATGATGAAGAAGCTTATTGCACATGAGACATGACATTGAGTCATGTGATCAAGGTGGAGAAGATCAAGACATGACTTGGCTTGATGGACCCGTTGCAAGTGTGAAGGGCAAGTTGAGTGATGACTTGACGCCGATGGACCGAGGCAACGGTGAAGAGCAAGTGAAGTCAAGATCGATGAACCAATATGATCACGTGGTGATATGAAGTGGATCATATCATTGTTGATCATGTTGGTGCATGTGTTGCATCAACATCGGAGGAGATGGAATAGAATGCGCAAGGCAAAGGTATAACCTAGGGCATTTTATTTCACCCGGTTATAGATGTGTAGAGAAGTCGATGACCGGGTTTAGGATAGATGGACGTACTATCAAGAGGGACAAACTTGTTTGCATATCGGTCATCTAGTGCCACTTGAGTGATCTAACTTTGCATCGTCGCTAGGATCGAGTGGCGTGACAAGTTGAGTGGCTAACTCCTTGAAAATATTTGTGAAAAGCTAACACACATACACATGGTGGTGTACACTTTGTTATATTGGCACATTTACAAAAGGAGAAGAAGTTGGAGTTGATGTGGATCAACTCGGTGGACAAACGGAGGCGAAAGATGATACACATTGTGTTTAGCACTTGGAAGCAAGGGTTCGAAACTTCACCGGCGCCTTGTACAGAAAAGACAGGGTTTCATAGAATGCACCGGACTATGACCCAGCGTTCGGTCAGTGGCGCGCAGTGAAGGCCGCCCTCGGTCTCTTGACCGGACGCAGGCGACCGAACTCTGGCTAAACACTGTTCAGCGCCCGGTCGTGCTGATGTCGCGGCGCATAGAGGAGACGGTGAGTGACCGGACGCTGGGCGAGTCTGGTCGGACGTGACCGGACGCGTTCGGTCGCGACTGGAACCTTACTGGAAGTGACCGGACGCTGGGGTCCTGTGTCCGGTCGTACACTGTAGTGCGTTCGGTCACAACTTAAGTATACTGATGACTGTTGAGATCGGGCGATCAGTATTTGAAGTAGGTGCCACGTGACATGCATCGCGCGACCGGACACTAGGGTCTTGCGTCCGGTTAATACGACCGGAGCGTCCGGTCGCCCCGAGCCGTGCCCAGTGAAGAGATACAACAGCTCTATTTTCATGGGGGCTATAAATAGAATGTGGTTTTCAGCCATGGCTGTGGTTGAGCACCTAGGGAGACTTTGTGTCTATGCTTGGTAGTGCTTGGGAGCTCTTCATCTCACATATGCTTGATAGTGATCATTCGATTGTGTGAGTGAGCGATTCTAGTGCGATTGCATCGTGAGGTTGCATCGAGTGGCACTAGGTGATCGAGTTGTAAACCGATGATGCTTGTTACTCTTGGAGGTTGCCACCTCCTAGATGGCTTGGTGGTGGTCTCCGTTGAAGCCCGCAAGAAGCTTGTACGGTGCTCCGGAGAAGAGCTTTGTGAGGGGCATTGTGCTCGTCCCGCGGGAGCCACGAAGAGCAACTCTAGTAAAACGTGTCATTGAGCTACCCTCACTTTCGGGATAGGTTCTTGCGGTGCCCAACATGCAAGCTTGGCGGGTGATGCCAATTAGCCGCTGAACCACCAAGTGAGCGATCGACACAACGGGGACTAGCGTGTTGGCAAGCACGTGAATCTCGGGAAAAAAATCACCGTGTCATCCTTGTCTTCCCGTTGGTTTGTATCCTCGTTACACAAGCTTGTATTTACTTCAATTACATTGCGCTTTGTGTATTTGCTCTTGTAATTAGTTAGCTTGTGTAGGTCATTAGTTATCTTCTTACTTGTGTAGCATAGAAGTAGCTTTGTTGCGTGACTAATTCGGTTTGAGTAACCTTGTTAGTCATATTGCTTAGTTTGTGTAGCTAAGTAATTTACGCTCTCTAATTTGACATTGGTTATCTTGTTGTTGAGCATTGCTAGTGAGGTTAGGAGCTTTGTGCTTTTGCTTACTAGCTTGTGTAGGAGCTCCCTTGTTGATTAAAGTACTAGTGGCATATGTTTGTGTGACCTTGCTTTTAGAATTGGTTAGGTGAGCCATAGCTAGCCCGACATCTTAATTGCTTAATTAGAATCTTTGCAAGGTGCTAGAGAACATATATAGAGGGGTATAGTCTTGGCTAGACCGATTGTTTTTAATTCCGTATTTGTTTCGGTTAGCCAGCGAGATTAAATTTAGTAACGACTATTCACCCCCCCTCTAGTCGCCATCTCGACCCTACAGCGGCGCGGTAGGACGTCGGGGCACTACAACCGGAACGACGGGCGCTAGGTGGCGGCGGTGGATGATGGCCTGATGTGGGCTGAACGGAGAGGACAGAGGAGGCGATGGATGTGGGGACCGGCCGACCGGGGAGGGAAGTGCCAGGCCGCCAGGCGAGGTGGGCGAAGTGGCTTCATCACATGCAGTGAACGGGTCCGGTTTGCTCTTGTTAGGAGTAGAGAGATAATTGGGGTCCCAATTAGTGCTCAGTTTTGTTTATTTTTACTTTAATCCTTCTTAAAATGAAGTAGAACTATTAGTTGTGATTCCAAATGAATATGTTGATTCATTAATAACTGATTGTGTGTTTCTCAGCAGGGTTCAAAATTTCGGCCTAATTTCACGAAATTCAGTAATTTCGGTGGTGGCCGAAAGAACACTAATACACATGCTACATAACTATAGACTCATATTTTCTATTGTTTATATTGCATATTTTTCTATTCAATAAATGTGTAGTCATAAATCATACTAATATTTGTTTAGATCTAATTTTTCTTTTAGAAAAAAACATACTTCATGTGCTAGTCTCTAAAAAAAATTGTCGAAATTTCAGCCGGTGATGGCCGAAATTTTTGCAATACCGAAATTAAAAACCCTGTTTCTCAGTACTTTAGGAACGAAACTTCATTAATACGGACTCAAGAGTAACTTCATGGAGATTCAAAGCTCACAAGTCACAAACAAATATTTTTCTTGTTACATCTATATACAGGAGTCTAGGTATGGGAAGGTTTAATCACACTCTGAAAAAGGGGGAAAGTGTAACGGTGAAAATGATAGCACTGACTTCACAAAAAGAGTCTGTGGACCATCTAAAAAAATCACATATTTACACCGAAGTTGCTGACTTGGTGTTAAAACATTACATAATACAGCATGACAAGTTCAGCTATGCTGAGCAGAAACTGCCCATTTCTTAACCAGAGGTACCCCAGGGATTTTAATAAAGTTATATTTTACCTTAAATGGAACAGGTCTGTCATACATAGATATCTCCACCTATATAAATATAAGCAGGAAAATTTACTGGGGCTAAATTACTCTTTTTACATTTACAGATGATCTAACGGTATCCATGGAAATCTTGTTGCCTTCATCAGCAAGATGGAAGTTCACAACTTCAGTGGATACCATTGTTGGCTTGTTGCTTCACAAATCAAGAGGATTTGGCTTTTCTTTCAGTAGTCTGATGAATACTAAGCCATGGAGCAGTATTTTCCTCTCACAACATTTCAGCAAAAGCATCAGCATAAGCCAAATTTCAGCATAAGCGAACAGGGTATTATACTAAGCCTCTGGGTTTCTCCATCTAAAGGGTTCAGCTTGTGTGGAGCCGCCGTTTCCTCTATTGTCAGTCTCAGGTTGACCTGATCCGCCTGCCGGTGTCTCTGGTAATCTTGCTTGTCCTGGTGCTCTACTGCCTCGGCGATCCTAAAACCAATGACAATAGATACATAAGTTAATGCGAATACAAGACGACAAACTGACGAAGTGATCAGGAGATGCCAATGGTACGTGAGGAGTTACAATGGTTTCAAATGAAATATTTCAGAGGTATTTGTCAAGATGTGCCTAATTCAGAGTGGTTGATATGAATAAACTTTTGCTGGAAAGTGAGAACAGTAACAAAGTACACTTAGCATCGAAACATGAGACTGGTGCAGATAAAGAGCATAGTGATTGACTCAGATTCTCACATGGTATTATTATATGATCAAAACACTTTTATCACATACAACAGACGTGGCCACAGGGATAGTTGACACTATATGTTGGTGCTTCACAACTGATACCGGCAGAGAAGCAACATCAATTCAAAAACACATACTAGAAATTTTTCTGAAATGTAATTGAAGAATATATAATAGACTTCACTAGTTCACTGACTTACATCTCTGTATGGGAAATCATCGACTTCAAACATGTGAATGACATGCCCAATCCTTGGTCTCTTAAGAGCATCAGGGTCTACACATCTCAGCGCCACTAGCAAAGCCTTCTTCAATGCTCTTGAAGAAGGTTTCTTGGGTATTTTTGGATCCACAACCCCATCTGAATTTCGGGTGCTTACCATCGTCTTAAGCCAATCAACTAAATTCACCTGAAAAACATGATCTGAAGGTTTATAATACACTAAAACAAGCTCATAAAATAGAATTGGCTGTAAGGAGGTACAGGCATGGCTAACCTCTCCTGGTGGCCTATTATAATCCACTGGTACCCTACCGGATATTATCTCCATAATAAGAATCCCAAAACTATATATGTCGCTTGTTTCATTCAACATTCCAGTCCCTGCGTACTCTGGAGCAACATACCTGTGATGAGTGAGAAGGGAATTAGCATCCGTCAGGCACAGCCACCTGATGTTAAAAACCTAAAAGTGCACTGCACAGAGTCTAACCCGAAAGTTCCCATAACTCTTGTAGTGACATAACTCCTTTCTGAACCTAAAAGCTTTGCAAGTCCAAAATCCGAGAGCTTAGCATTCCAATGCTTGTCCAGAAGGATGTTGCTTGACTTGACATCACGGTGAACCACTTTTGGTTCAAGCCCCTCATGCAAATACATTAACCTACATGAGGGTAGAAATTTAGGTAATTAAGTAGAGTACCAGTAAAACTCAGTAGACCAACAAGAATAAGCTGACAACACATATACCCTTTTGCTGTTCCCAGTATGATTTTCATCCTGTCATCCCAGGTGAGAGGGCTTACGGGCCCAACATCCCCGTGCAGCCATTGTTCTAAGTTCCCGTTATCAACATACTCATATACAAGCATCCTAACAAGAACAACAGAAACAACATCTATCTTAGTATTATATCAACCAATAAGCTAAACAATTGGTCTGCACACACCTGACATACCTCTGATTACCCTCAGCACAGTATCCTAGAAGGCGCACAAGGTTCTTGTGTCGCACACGCCCGATCGCTTCAACCTCAACCTTGAATTCCTTCTCTGCCTGCCCCCTAACAAGTCAAAGGGTACAAAATTTATAAATTCTACCAGCACACTGAAGAAAGTCGATCATGTCAGATTTCCACAGAATTCACTCAGCTTGTTAAACTATGCCTCTCAAAAACTAACTCAAGCTACTATTATAAAACACAAGGGAATTGTCCGTGACAAGCTTCTCCATTTGATATGCAAAATGAAATCCTCCTGCTGAACGTGACATCTAAGGACCTGTTTGGCACGGCTCCTCCTAAGGGGCTCCTCCGGAGGAGCCGGAGCCGTTTTGAAGGAGCCACAAATTGTGGCTTCTCCAAAACGGCTCCGGCTCCCCTGTTTTTTTACTGAAAAACGGCTGTTCCAAGAAAACGTTTGGCAGGGCTCCTCTGGAGGAGCCGGAGCCAGAGCCGGAGAGGAGCCCTGCCAGGTCCTAAGTTCAGCATTGGCAAGCTTCGTACTTGAACAATCAATGGCCATGTGCAATCAGCACAATGGCAAGCATTTTAAAATTCAGCACTAACATGCCACTGAAAGTACAGAGTACTCCTGAACTAATCGGCTAAGCTGCAATGTCGGATAGTCAGATGCGAATGCCAATTGAATGCAAGTTTTGCGGTCCATGAAGTTAACATCCATTGGAAGCTGGTTCGATACCTGTTGTTTAGCAAGTTCTTGACGGCGACCTGCGTGCCGTTCTCGAGCACGCCACGGTACACGATCCCGTACCCGCCCTCGCCGATCACGTTCCCGTCGGCGAACATCCCGGTCGCCGTCTCCAGCTCCTTGAGCGTGTACCAGTGGCCCCACCCCAGATGGGACACCTCCGGCACCGCCGGTGGCGCGTGGTCCGTGGCGGCACCACCTCGCCCACCGCGGCTCTCGCCGTTGCCGCGCGGCGAAGGCCCGTCGCTCCGGTGGCTGGGGTGCTGGTGCTGCTGCTGCTCCGGGTACGTGACGTGATGCTCCTTGCCGGTCACGATCTGCTCGGAGACCGGTGGCGTGGGGAGCTGGAGCACCTGCGCGAGCGGCGTCTTCGCTGGGGCGGCGGCGGCGGCGTGGGAGGGGACTTCTTGGATGTCCTTGAGCGCCTTGACATTCGCGGGACTCTTGGGAGGCGCGGTGGTTGGGAGCTGCTGGGCGGGGTTGGGCGGCCGCTGGCGCCGGCGACGGCGGAAGGCGAGGAGGCAGAGGACGGAGATGAGGACGAGCAGTAGCACGAAGGCGGCACCGACGCCGATGCCGACGAGCACCCACATGCGGAGCCCAAACACCAGCGTGCTCTGGGACAGCTCCGTGTCCGCCATGGGAGCTGCTGGCGGAGCGCGAGACGCCAGGGCGGCGACGCCTTGGATGGAGCTTGTTGCTTCTTCTCGCGAATTGGCGGATCTCCTCGTGTTTCTTGAGCGGAATTAGGTGGCAAAGCTCGGATTCCACGGCGCAAACAGCATTGTCTGGACTGAAACGGGGGGCAAGCACGGTGGATTTTGTGAAGAATCGGGCGGTAAAGATTGGGTTCGTTCTGCGGATGGAACAGTGTGGTATTGCAAATGCCACAACTTTGTGCACAGTAGCTGAATTTGGGTGGGTAATCGGGTGCGGAAGGAAGGGAAGGGGACGGGGCTGTTGTCGGCGACAATGTGGTTGTAAAGATTGGGACTTGGTTGGGGGAAAAGTGAGGAGTGGATGGTTTGGTGTGATGAAAATTTTGGATTCTGGTGTGACTGGAGACCAGAGATGGTGTAGCTGGTGGCTGGCGGTGGGCGGCTGGCGTGACGAGGATCCCAGGGGCAGCAAAACGAAGAAGACAGGCAGAGGGAGGAGTGAATCGTTGCTTGATGCGTTGGTTGCAGAACTGTCGATGATGTGCCAGAGATGTGGCAGAGCGAGAGTGACGACTTCTCTCTCGGAGACGGAGAGGATCAGACGAGGAGTCGAGAGGACAGTGAGGAGGAATGGAGGGAGAGTAATGTGGAGTAATGAGGGTGCTGCTCCTCTGCATGCATGGAGGCGGAAGAGAAAGCCAGCAAGCAAAGAGGAGAATAATAATTCAAGTGTAGAAGAAGGGGCATCTGATCTTTGTTATTTGTGATGATGAGGTGGATGGAATACAGTCAGTCAGGAGCGCGTGTACTGAGTCTACTGGAGGAGCTGGCATGAGGTAGCATGTTGCATGTTTTCTATTCTGTTTTTTTTTTCTTTCTTTCTTTCAAATGTCAAATGTGATGTTTTGTTTTTGCCGTGCTAGAGGCCCCCCAGCTACAATGTACTGTATCGTGTAATTAGCTGTCCCTCTCAGGCTCTCAGTGGCATAGATGCTTGCAACAATAAACGTACAAAGGACATGTTCGTAAGGAAGAGAGTTATTGCTACTCGGTACGAATCTCACGTGTTTTTTTTTTCAAAGTCTTAGGGTTGAGAAAATTCCCTATAAAAAGATAAGGTTCTATTTGATCCTATAGACAGTAAGTAGTTATCTGCTAAAGCTGGATAATGAGCTGGCTCGGCTCGGCTCGTTATCCTAACGAACCATAAAGCCAGCTTGACTCGGCTCGTTAAAAGCTCGAGCTGGCTCGTTAAGCTCGCAAGACAGGTATAAAAAAAATACACAAAATATAATATTTGCATTTATCTAAAGTTTGAGAATAATAATAATATAAAAGAAATGCATCTAGATCAGTTACTAGTCAATTTATAGGGTCTAGACCAGTTACCAGTCAATTGTAAAGTGTAAGACATGAAGTAATACAAAAAATAATATAAGTTTTGATACTTTTTCCTGGAAGCTTGGCTCGTTTAGCTCGCGAGCGGCTCGCGAGCTGGCTCGAGTTGGCTCGTTATAGCTAACAAGCTAAAATCTTGGCTCGGCTCGGCTCGTTATGATAACGATAACGAGCCGAGCCGAGCCGAGTCGAGCCAGCCACGAGCCGAGCGAGCTAACGAGCTTTGAGTTTTTCGTCCAGCCTTATTATCTGCTAATAATTATCTCTTTTGAATTTAAACAGGTATAGATAAATAAACTAGCTAATTGTTAGCTAGATCTCTAGATAACAACTATCTCACTAATTGGATCAAATTAGATAATAGCAACTAATAGATGGAGAAATAACAACTATATCATCAATTAACTGTGTATACAAACACCCTTCTAGCTAACAAGTAGCTAGTCAATTGTTAGCCAGCTGATATTAGCTATGTACTATTAGCTAGCTAACTATTATCGGCTAATAGATCAAACACGACCTAAGTCACCCTTCATTGCACACAATTTCATTTTACCATGAAAAGGCACCATTTTCTTTGGCCTACGATTTTCAATGTTTGATCAGACCTGCTTGGAACGACAGTGACTGACCATGACATTATACTGAAATTAGAGAGCTTATAAGGTCATCATCGCCCCTTGCCGACGAAACAAAGCCAAAGACCACATCAGTACATCACCATGACACAAGCGCATCAGATATTCTTTTTAGAGTAAGAACCAGACGGCGATACCTGTCCTAGAGCTCCTCTGAGATGCCGCTCACCATTTATTTTCAATAAAGAAAGTTTTATTACTTTTCAAAGCTATTTCATTGAGATGATATAAACATAGTACTATCGCTCACCATGAATGTTACTCCTTGTATCCTTTGTGTTGTGCGTGGCAGTAGCGTTTATGAAAGATCCTAAATAGCTAGAGGGAGTGAATAGGCTGTAAAAAATTCTACAATAACACTTAAGTCAAGAGGTTAGATAATTAAGTGACGAAGCGAGTGTTGCGCCAGCCTACTAAAAATGCAAGTCACATATCCACAATTCTAGTTAATTATGATCACTAGGCACTCAAAGGCTATGTCACTACACTCTACACTAGTTGAGACAGTGATGACATAATGATTTTTCCCCTTGAGATTCACTTGCTTGCCGACAAACTAGTCCCCGCTGTGGCGATTCACTCACTTGAAGGTTCATAGGCATCACATGCCTAACCCGCAACCGGGTGCCGCACAACCAACACAAGATGAGGATCTACAAGCCACGCGCAATCCACTAGGATTGCCTTTGGTGCTCCGTCGGGGAAGGCACAAGAACCCATCACAATCTCAACGATCAGAGTCGGCAACAATCACCAATAGCTGCTCAACGATCTACCAATCACCGGGCTATCCAAGTGTCGGCAAACACCAAGAGTAACAAGATCTCTATCAGCCCAAATCGCTCAACTAGTGCCACAAGATGCTAGATCACTGAGCAATGCACTAGAGGCTCTCCAATCTCACTCAAATGATGAAAACAAGTGTGCAAGTGAGTGGATTGTGTTTGCTCAGCTCCCAATATGAAATCTCAGTACTTTGGAGTTCCAAGAGAGTGGCCATGGCCAGCCAAGGGGGCTATTTATAAGCCCCACCTTGAAATAGAGCCGTTACCCCTTGGAGCACAATTATGCGAGGGCACCTGACAGGGCGGTGCCTGACACTAGACATGGCGGTGCCCCCTTCCAACAGTCAAATTCTAACGGCTAAAAACTAGATGTTGGTCACCGGACAGGGGTGAACGGTGGCACCGGACAGGGTGTGGTGGTGCCACCCTGGCCAAACCCCTCGGTTTCCCTGCTCTCTAGATAATTAGGGTGGTGCACCTTCATGGGGGTGACAGTGACCAAGGCGGTGCCCCTCGGTCCTAACTCCAATATCGCCAGCCTCTGGAATAAAGGAGCGGTGGCACCGGACGCACCCCGACGGTGCACCGCCGTGCACCTAGTGGTGTACACTGTCACTGATGGTGCCAGTGCCAATTCCAGCTCCTCGGCCGAGGCCAAATGGTCACCGTCCTAGGCGGGTGGTACACTGGACAGGGGGTGACAGTGCCCCCAAAGGCAGCACCTCATCCCCTTCTTCGCCTCCGTTGATTCCTTTCCAAATGTGCCAACACCCCAAGTGTTTTATCATCATGTGCAAGTGTGTTAGCATTTTCACAATCATTTTTCAAAGGTTAATCACTTCTCACCGAATGTGCACTAGGCCTAAATGTAATACATGTATTCCAACACCTAGTGGCACTAGATGATCGAGTTGTCCGATAAGAGGAGGAGGACAGTAGTAGCAGTAGGAGTAGCCAGATATGGACAAGTAGGACAACAAGCATAGAAGAACTTGCACAAATAAAAAATAGCCAGCAAGCAATACTCACTGTTTTCCTTGAATTATAGGCAACATGTAGTATAGCATTAGAGAAAACAAGTAGAGAATTATAGGCTGAATAGAACAAAATAGAGGTAGTTGAGGGTAGACAAATTCAGTGCAAAACCACTACAAATAATAGTGAGACAGTAGTAACACAGGCAAGCAAAAGAAGAGCAGCAGGCCATTTTGGGGAAAACAAAATGACAACAGTATATAGAGTAGATAGTAGCACATATATGATGAAATTGTGCAAGAAGAGTGGACAAGCAAGCAATAGGAGTAGCCAGTGTACCAGGGAAGAAGAGTGGATAGTAGAGCAGCAGCAGTAGTAAGTCATAGGAGTAGACAAATTTAACTCAAATTCATCTAAAATTTATCCCAATTCATCTCAATTTAGTCAAATTTGTCCCAATTCATCTCAAATTCATCTCAAACGAGTGGCAAATAATACTCAGTTAACCAATACACATTAGGCATCATAGGCAGTGGCATTTGCATAGTGACAAAAAACGCATTGAAAGCATCTAGGCCCCTAGTTGGGTTTCGATGATTAATGACAATACGAGATTACATGACTAACGTGTGTTTTGCAGAGGCAATTAAGTTAGGTCATGGTAATGGCAATTGATTGGGCAATCATGGTTGTCATGCCCCTACGATGGAGATCGTTTTGATTTTCAAAGGATGGACGACAAGGTTAAGAATAGACTAGTTCTAAGTATCGTTTGGTGTTGAAGAGACACTTAGAGTAGTTTAGGACTTTATTTTTCCTTTGGCCGTACTATTAAGGGGGGTATGGACTAGTAGCTTGACCTAGGTGAGTCTAATGAGTTAGGTGTGGTGCACACTTGTCAAATCTAGCACTAGGTAGCTCCAGAGTAGCCATAAAATCAATTGGAGCAAACTTTATTCACATATGATTTCGAGTTGGAAGTAAATGGAGGGTCAAATGACTGACCAAACGCTGGTCTGGTTGGGACCAGACGCTGAAGGGTGAGTCCGGTCAGTTCATTTGATCAACTAGAGCCATCTGGTTGCGACCGGGCGCTGAGTGAAAAATGACCGGACGCTCGGTGCCTGCGTCTGGTCAACTCTAGAGAGGTTCTAGAGAGGGAGATTCCTGATCGGACGCGTCCGGT